AGATTCGTAATAGGGGCATTATTGACAAAAAGAGAGAGAACGAGATCATAGATAAGTTACTATGCGTTTTAACTGGTATCTTTCCCATTAGAGTCCAGCCTAATAGGGTCTCTATCGCTACCAAGTTACAATTCAAAAGATGTCTTCTTCCAGTGTAAAGTTTGCCCGCGATATCTGATCCTATCAAAAGTTCAATTGGAGTAGAATCATATGAGTCAGATATTTCAATATTTAATTTACAAAGCTCTTCCGTCCAGGGCCCATCGAATATGGAAGATACACTATTGCAAATAACAGCTTGATCCAGTGCTTCAAAGGTACAACTATAAGTATCGTGATTTAATTCCACGTCATAGCAATCATAATTTTGCATCAAATTACTTCCTCCGAATAACCCATGAACGAGACTAATTTTTCCTTTTGACTAATATCCCAAAAATTTAGCTGTCGCCTTCAAAATATAGGATTTCTGCAATCCAGTATCAATCAATGCTCGCACATGTCTCGATTTACCTAAATGAGTCATTTTTCGCGCAGCGTCTGCAAAAAAACCTGTGTGTTCGTATTAGAACTATTCGCAAGTGCCTGATCGACTTTCGCTGCCGTATCATCTTGTTGTTTTTGCTCCAAATTATTTGCCTTTGTTCTATTAAATGAAAGTGTCGGACACATTAGAGAAACATGTGATCTACTACAAACTAAGCAACTTAAATGACCTCGACATTTTCGAGCTTGATGGCCAATTTTTAAGCATCGAAAGCATGCACCCTTTTGTGCCAAAATATTTCTTTTTTGCTCGTAGGTCAACTTCTGAGCTTTAAAGCAGCCGGTACTGTCGTGCGAATTTTGGCAAAAAAGGCACTTCGTTGTCACTTCTGAATTTATTAGACCCGTTGCCGTAGAAAAGTTTTCTTGTGGTACCCGCGATTTCTGACTAGGGCGTTTAACATCTCTATTTGCTGCACTAGGTAGATCAAAGCCTTCCACCGCAAAAGAAATGTGCTGTTCATTATCGACTTCCTTTTTCAAAAAGTGCATGAGATTGTTAAGTCGATTTTCTATAGTAGAAACGCCCACCGTATTTATAAAAGCTTGTGATCCAGCGACCTCGGGTCCCTCGAGAATACGTTGCCAAACTCTCAATAGTTCCGATGGTAAACACGATTCTACTAACGGAAACAGCATCGCCGCGTAATTATCTGATTTTATCCCAAGTTTCTCTAACGCCCGTAATTGAGTTTCGAGATTGTCGTACAACAAAGATAGATCCCTTTTATTGCCAGACGAGGTTTTATTAATTACTAATTTTAGCAACTCCCGCACGTATACCTCTATTTGCAAATCATCCCGCCCGAATCGCGAAAGAAGACAGTCTACCATTTTACCATAATTGTTCCCAGTGGCTGGAAAACTATCAACTAACTGTCTTGCCCGACTACCCATTAACGTACATTGGACCAGATATTTCACTTTATCATTTAAATCTATATCCGGGTCATTATGTATCTTTTGAAACTGGGACCAGAAGGGCAACCAGTTTCTGATATTTCCATCAAACTTCTTAAGTTCTAGAGTAGGTAATTTAAATTTACGCCTACCTGATCTGCTGCCTACACTACTTTCCGAGGCCATGGAGTCTACCTCTTCACCTGGCTCGTTCCGCGGCTTCTGTAGAAAATCCTCAGCCTGTGTGTTCAGGTCGGTAAATTTCCTTATATAAACTTCGCTACCATCTATCTCTGCCAACAAGTCTGCTTTACTTTCATTACTTTCCAACAGACACTAGTATATATCGCTGTCAACTTTCCTTAGATCCTCATATTTTTGTTTCAAAATTTCTAAGGTCACCACGATTAAATGTACCTTTCCTTCCGGCGCCGACAACAGCTCTTCCAACTCTTTCGCCGATTTAGTAAAGGTGGTACGGAGTACTTTACGGTGCTTTTTGTTTTGATCCATGATTCACAATGCACAATTGAACAAACTACACACGTTTATCGGAAAAACAACAAATTAAACGTGCGGTCAAGTGTATCCGGTTAGATCACTACACTTTCGGCACACCCAGTAAACTCAAAAACGATTATTCCCGTAAACTGCCGGTCCTGTCACGGTCGCCAAATGTTGGTTGTATCAATATAAATCTACCCGTTCTACATCAATATCGTTTGATGGAATAAAAGTCCAAAATTATCAACAATAACTTCTATTCAAAAATTACAGGCAGTTTTAAAATGAAATAATTCTAAAGCATATATCGGTGGTGTTCACAAAGGTACTGATTTTACAATCTTTTAAATTAATATATAAACATGCCACGGCTTCTCCGAAATAAAAATATAATCAAAGCGGGAAGTCGTGAAATTTAATTGCATATTCTCGACGTGAGATATAAACATAAAAACCACGTCGCCCTAATATTTAGAATAAACATCTTTTGAGTGCGTCTTATGCTTAATAAGCAATAATACTCGACTTAATAAAATAATCTACTGATACATTCTTAATGATAAATCAGAAGACCTTAAATTGTTGATGCTAGCTGTTTGTGGTTTAGTTCTCGAGTCGAACAACAAATTCGAGGTGGGCGTTCGTTAATCGGAGTGATATTTGTTTTTCAAAAAATTCATTTTTGAGAAAGACGTTTCGTACATATATGTTAAGCCAAACATAGTGGTCAAATTGATTGCAAGTTGTCTGCAATTTTCATATTTTGGTGGTACATGTTTGACCCAAAATTCTTCGGCAGATACTGATTTATAAACGTGCAAGGACAAAATCATCTTATAATTCAATAATCTCCATTAGCTTAGCTACCACATCTTTCCATTCTGCTGCTGCATCAGCTTCAAATGGTGATTTTAGAAATCAAGATAGTTTGCTTTCCTGTGCAAAGTCTTGGAATCTTGAAGCAAATTCGTTCCTATACGAACACTGCAATGTCTTCTTCGGATTTTTTGTTATTTTTATCATATTTAAGAATATTTGGAAAATTAATGAATTCTTATTGAGCAGTATCTTTTTCAAAGATATCCAGCTTATGACGAAAAGCAGACACGCTTTATATCAAATCACATACAAATTTTCCATTTCCTTGTAAATATGTGTTAAGCGGTTATATACTCAAACTGTCCTGGCTCCATGCGTATCTATTTTTTGTAAGAAAGAGATTACATGTTCTTTTATTAGCCAGAAACGTTCAATAACTTGACCTTTACTTAACCAACGAGCATTATTTTTTTGTAGTAAGTCAGAATATGCCGAATCACATTCAGAAAGAAACTCCTTGAAATATCGATGCTGAAGTAGAATGAGATCCCATAAAATTAATTAACTTCACTAAACTGTTCACGACTTCTTTAAGTTTAGCACTAAGTTTTTCACAAAGGTCTGCCTGGTGTATTATGCACTGATATGTTATTATATTTGAATTTTTATCCCTGATTCTCTTTACTACACCTTTTTCCTTGCCAATCATTGCTGGGGCCCTATCAGTAGAAAGCGAAATCATTTTATTATAACTGATGTTAGATTTAGAGATTAATTCGTCAATAACCTTGAATAAATCTTTTCCTCGAGTGTTACATTTCAGCGGCAATATTGCTAGCAACTCTTCTCTAAAAATCTGACACTCAATATCAAGATATCTTACAAAAACAGACATTGGTTCATCATCAACAATGTCACATGATTCGTCAAGTGCTATGGCGTAGCAAGGTGCCTTTTGCAAAAGATTAGAAAGATAGTTTTTAATATTCGCAGCTAAAATTTTCATTCTTGGTGTATTACTTCGCGCTGACAATGAGATGCTTTGAATTGCTGAGGCAACATCTTATTTTTCTTCAAAAAGTGAGTTAGCTACTGCCAGTATACATTACTTCACTATCTCAGAATCAGAAAATGGTTTTTGGTGTTTATTAAGTATCCAGCACACACGTAACGCTGCCTCTGTGGATTTTTCTTGGTCGTTCATGCAGCGAACTAGGATTTTTGTGCTTTTTTCGTAAGAATTAAGATACACCCGAAGTTTTTCTCTCACCAAGAGAGAAGTTCAGGGGTTTCGTAGTGTCGTTCGTAGTGTCAAATTTCCGTTTTTTAACTAAGGCGACAGTTTTATTGCATATAGGGCACACCGGAACCACTTGCGGCCTATCAGGCAGTGTAACTTCCTATTTTCACTGTCCACTTTTCTTCTTTTCGGATCCATATAAACGTAGGTACAAAAAGATGTTTTATAAAACGAACGAAAACGCGAGTAATCACAAAACAAATTAACGGTAGTGCGCTACGTGCATGTCACTGACTAACCAACTAGTGAGCGACTGTCAACTGTCAGTCTTTAGTCAGTGGGCAGCATCGTTGCCAGGCCCATAAATTTTATTTTCCCAAATTGTGTTTTAAAAGTTACCAGATTTTGAACAGAATTCCCCAGATTTATATATTTCAGTTATTGTAAACATGCAATATTATTAGAAAACAATATTTCACCACTTATACATAATTGTTATTATGTTTTTTTATTTACTTTATTTCACTTCCTATTTGAAAATTAACAGAAGTGTTATTTTAACGTTGATTGAATATTTGGAATATTCAATCAACGATTTTAAGCTTGATTGACTCAGCAATCGATATTCCGCAGTCCGGTCCGTAGTTCAACCTTTCGCGGTCTGAATTCGGACCGCGGTCCGCCTGTTGTCGACCGTTAATGTAGACAGTAGCTCCTTCAGAAGCTCGTAGAATATCTGAAAAAGTTCATCATTTACTGCGGTATTTGGAGGATTATGCTGTAGTAGAATGATGCAATATTAACCTCCTTGGTTTTGCTTTCTTATATAACTTACAATTTCAGTTCTTCGATTTCTTACGATGCATGAATCACAATTATTAAAAATTCGAGCACTGTTTTAAATTTTAATACTATACAGCATGCGACATTTTTTATCTTATTCTATATAATTATGATTAAATTGTACATATTTGTCAATTAAAGTAAATATCTATGTAAAACGAGTATGTTTGGATTCTTGTAAATAAGGATGTAAATGTTGATAAGAGTGTGCAATACCACAGTTATAGAAGTTGAGCATATCTGAGTAAGCAAGATGGTGCTGAGATTCAGATTTTATGTTTGAGGTGTCTGACCTTACTGCCGATTGAAACTTAAGGGTGCTTTCTGAATTACTTCCATATGCCATACTAAATAACGCTTCTGGGTCGCAAACAAATTTATAAACGTACCTTTCACCTAAAAAAAATAATTTTATTACAATATTTTAATTAAATATTTATCCACAATGTACAGTATAAATAACAGTAATTGTCAATTTATTGACGTTTCAATTTCCACTTCGGAAATCGTTCTCAAAATACAAGCATAAGTAAATTTACTTAAGTAATTGCCAAATTACTCACCTATTTTTAAAATTCAAAGTAAACAATTTTGATGGACTTTAATGCTCATGCACATGTTGCTTCAATTTTCCGAGCGGTTTGAATTTGGTAATTCACTCAAATCGCTTAGATTCTAGACGGCAATCAAGTACAGATTAATCGAGAGTTGAATTTGACTAGATATATAGTAGGCAGAATGATTCGTCGACATCAGCTTACTGATTTCGCATGGGCTGTTCAGAGGACAGACAATTCTTTTTGCACAAACATCTCGTTCTGCTTCGCACATCGTTGCGACTAATCAATTTGAATACACGTCAATATCCATAGCAAGTTGATGCAAAAAAAATCTTTCAACGCTATAATCTATAATACCATAGTATAATACCAAGAAAAAGGGTATTCTGGACTAATTGCCAAAAGATAACAGACTCGTCGTAAACGGGCTAAACAATAACTTAATTAAACAACTGATTAGAGAACTATGTTTAGTGATGGGTGTGTCATAGAAGTGAGTGCCACCAAGTCTTATTTTGTACATCGCTACGAATGTACGCAAGTTACGTATTTACATACAGAAAAACGTTAGATTTTTTAAATAATGGGGCTATATTATTGCAGATAGTCCTGACGTCTTGGTACCGATAAAAGTCACTATGAAAATATATAGAACCACTAGGAACTCATATTGATCCATCATCGATTAACCGTTTTCTTTAGCATAAAACGATATGGAAATATTGGAATAGCCTTCATATTTCCTAAAAAGGAGCTGTATTAAAAATATTTTGCCATTTTTGGAACTTTGACTAGAGATCGTGCCACTCAAGAGAAGAACTTATATATGATGGTACAATATTTGCTACAGAATGGAGGTTACATGGGCTATTAATATTGATATGCACTTTGTAACAAGAACATAATGTCTTGCTAAATTAAATTAATTAAAGTATAGTAAGTATTTACTTATTTATTGTTTACAAATTATCCCAGCGAAGGAGAAGGACGATTAAGTAATTTGGCAAATACTATGTTAAAATATTTTAACGAATTACTGTGTGTGTCAAATTTATCTTATTTCTGCCTGGAGTATATAGCTCTTAGGCCAGCAAAAAAAAAGAGCTAAAAAAATCTTATACAGTACTAACTTTAGGTATAGGGAACTTATACAAATTTTGTCTAGAATTTTATTAAATCTAGCAAAATCTATAAATGTCATAATATACAAAGTGTTTCCTTTAAAATTACAAAGTTGTTGTTCACTTCCGGTATAAACGGAAATAGCATGTCGGTGTAAATATTTTCTTTAAGTAGTTCGTCCAAACTTGTAATTCCCATAAACCAATTTTTATAAATATTGTGTAAATGGTTTCTGATTCTGATATATATATATATATATATATATATATATATATATATATATATATATATATATATATATATATATATATATAAAGGAAGAATGATCACAGCTGTCTAATTATTAATTAGTATAATGGTAAGGTTAATTGGGTTAGCAGCTGAATAATGAAAGCCAAAGTGTGCTCTTTTCAACGACTTCGTTATATTTCGTTAAATTTCTTTAACATCTTCAGACGAATGCTACAATATGTTACAAAATGGTGAAATTGTGTATTTTACATAAGATGTAGTGAAACACTTACTTGTGTGAGGTTGCAGGCAACAGTGGTATTTGAAAGTTCCATGTTGAAAAACTTTTTGAAGATTTTTTTTATAAAGCAAAAAAATATAAGTTGTATGTGTTATATGGTGGCTTGAAAACTCAAACAATACAAGTGCATTTTTGTCCAGTGTGATAGTACAATACAAATATTAAAAAACATTGAACATTTAAGAAACAAAACAGTTAAAACACAACTACATATCACATTGTCATTTTTTGGACCAGTCTATTCACCTATGCACAAGGAGGTGAAAATGTAGTGTGTACCTCAAGGTTAAAGTGTCTTGTCAGCTATCATATTAGTAGATGTCAGCCAGAAAACTAAAGCTGTGTTCAGTTCATGTGTAAAGTTACATTTAATTGAAAATTATGTTATGTTCATTTAAGACAATTAAATTCTGTTGTTAATAAATATATATAGAATTTATTTATTTCTTTGTGATTATTTCTTTTAAAGTTATTTTAATTGTTGTTATTACTCTTAAGAATTTTATTTCCTGGAAAAATGCAACAATTGCAATAATAATGATTAGGTTACTACTTCTATTGGATGGTCAGAAGAGTTTTAATAGACAATATTATACTACTCAGAATATTCCAGTTCGTTGACTTGATTATTTTTTGTTTCCAACTGTAGTAGAAAGGAATAAATTTCACTAAGGTGTTGTATATCTGATTTGGTGTTGATTATATTATCTGTTGTTGCTATGTTGTTGCATTTTTTAGAAATGACCATTATACTAATTATATATATATATATATATATATATATATACAAAATCCGTAAAATAGTTTCGAAACATAATTCAGACTTCTACTTATAATCTGAGCCTTCTAAAAATTGCAAGGCAAACAGACGTTAATAAAAGATGTTAAAAGGGACATGAGGAATCTAAAATTTGCATTCCACGACATGTCTTTTACAACTAAGCAGAAATCCTTAGCGAAGTGTGCTTCTAGTACTCACACAGAGTAAATCCGAATAAGATTTTAGATTCCCCATGTCCCTTTTAACATCTTTTATCAACGTCTGTTTGCCTTGCAATTTTAAGAAGGCTCAGATTATAAGCAGAAATCTGAATTGTGTTTCGAAACTATTTTACGGATTTTGTAATTAGATGTCGCTAGCGCGTCCGTATTGAAGCCATGTTATTGTTGCTTCTTAAAAGGCAGAAAATATTGATTTTTCGCGTTGAGAACTCCTAGGTATACATGTTCTGATGAGACCTATTAGGCCGAAATACGTATCAACAGATACATAGGATTTGTTTGCGTGAAATCAAATATTTGCTGCCTTTTTTCATTTTAATATATATAATATATATATATATATATATATTATATATATATATATATATATATATATATAAAACATACTAAAAAATAAAATAAAAAATTACATTAGAACAATAAATAAAGTTGTTGTATCTTCAAGAGGCTTACCCTTGTGATGATTGTATTATAAAATTAGCAAAATTACTTAACATTTGACATTATTAATTTGATTTTCTTTTTTTTTTCTGCCAAAACTTATTAGTATGGTTTCTATGTTTCTTCTATTTTTTATATTTATTTTAGGTTACTTTGAGAGAGAAAGTTGTTTGTTTATGCAAACAGATGTAAAAACGTTTCGTTTGCACTCATTAAGCAAGAAACAGACTTTTATCTCATTGAACTTGGAATAATCCCTTATTTATATATATATATATATATATATATATATATATAAATATATATATATATATATATATATATATATATATATATATATATATAAAATTGGTATTTCTTGGGTTTAGGTTCAATAAATTCTATTAAATTATATTACTAAATTTTATTTTCCATAGAAATCAACGTTTCGGCATGAAACCCTTGCCTTTGTCAATATTCTAAAATATACAAGATTAAGAACAAACAGTTATTGTAAAATATGTATATGTCGTAGGCAAGTATGAAATGCAGGCATTCTTGAAAAAGCCTAGTCATTTTCGTGATGACTTGGCAGTTTGTATACATACAAACATAGTTAGATAATGAAAAAAGCCACAAATGAATCTCTCGACATGGTACGACAATCTGTATTTGTGGTTTGTTAAAAAAAAAGCGTAGGTGTTCCTTTGTCTAGACCAATTGTTGCCAAAAAAGCGTTGTTTTTCAACATGAAATTGAATGGCGATCCTTCATTCAAAGGAAGCAGCGGTTGGTTGGAAAATCGCCACGGTATATCGTAATAATCGAAGGTGAAAAGTTGAGCGCCGTAAGTATTGAAGAAGTTGGCGAATATAAAATAAAGTTTCAAGATATGATAAATGAATATGGTTTGACACGCGATCAAGTATTCAATGTGAATGAAACTGGTCGAAGAAGTCGAAGATGATAATAAGCCCAAATCATCCACCCCATCCGTTGCCAGCTCGATCGAGCTATATAATAACTTTGCAAAAAAGTTAAACAACCCAATTATTGAAGACCCAGCTTCTGATGATGACGACTCTTACATCCCGGGGTCAGTGGAAGGAGAAGAAAGCGAAGCCGACACCGACGACGCAGTCTCAACCACGGAAATGGAAGCAATAACCACGCCCCCAACTAAAGAAACGCCCCCCGTCATGGACGTTATCTCTCTCGAGGAAGTGGAGCAAAGGAAAAAGAAAAAAAGGCAACGACCTACAGGCGATTCCTCCGACAAAGAAGAGGAAAACAACTAGGGAGCCAAAGAAATAGCTGAAAAAGAAAAAGCCAATGAGCTACTTAGGTCGGTCAATGTACTGACAGAACAAATCAAGTCCCTTAAAGAAGAAAGGCGTATCCGAGAAAATAAAGCTAATAAGCAAATTCAAGACCTTCTCGCTCAGATGACTGAGCTGAGAAACGAAAATAAGAAGAAGGATAAAGAAATCCAGAAACTCGTCAGTCATATAATGGCTCTGACAGAGAAAAAGAATCAAGAAGAAGAAATGGACCTCGACCTTTGGAAAGTCAGCTGACGCTAAAGCACCCAGCAGCAGCAAGGGCAAGTCCCAGGAGTCGAGGGAGAAACACATCGAACCTGCAGGTTGGACAAAAGTGCAAAGCAAAAAGAAAACAAAAAAGACAGGCACAACTACTGAGAAATCAAACAGTAGTGAGAAACCAAAAATAACCGTCGCCGAAAAACAGACGCAGATAATGAATCAACGAAAAGACAACGAACTAACGAAAGCTGTGAAAGAGACTCAAGAAAGGAATCAAAAGAAAAAAATGGCCCAAAATAACTTGAGCGAAAAAGGCCAAGTTGATAAAGAAATCTCTGAAAAGAAAGACTCACCGCAAACAAGCGAGGAGTCAACAATCAAAAGACCCAAACCACCAGCGATTATTCTCAAAACAGTAGAACACCAAAAAATCCTGCAGAGAGCAGCAAACAAAGGAATAGTATCTGTGAACAAATTCGCACGATCAGGTAGATTCATAGTGATTAATACCAAAAGCCGAGAAGACTATCTAGGAATGGTTCACATCCTAGAAGAACACCTACCAAAAGTAAAATTTATCGCATATCTCATAGATAGCGATAAATTAAAAAGGGTTATTATAAAAGTTCTATCTGCTTCTACTAGCACAGA